ATGGTCTTTCGTTTTCAAATTCGCCTGCCTAAATTTATTTCTGATCTCATAGTATCTATTAGAGTTTGAAATCACATTATTTATACTTTCTACATGTGAATATATATCAAAATTGATAGTTTTATGTATGTACTTTATCACAGATCAAATGTAAAAAACCATTGATTTGAATTTTTCAAGTAATGAACAATCAAAATCTTTTGGATAAGAATGAAACAAAAATAATATTCATACATGAATTTTCAGTTTTGTCCATATTACATAGGAAAATAACCTGATCTCGACAATCTGAATGAAAACAATAATGAATATATCATACATTCATCTTATTATTGTTTAACTTAATTTTCATTTTTGTTATTAATATTGTGCACATATCATAAAATATAAGAATGGTAGTAGTAGTAGAGAACAATTTGATAGTCATATTCTTTATGTTTTTAACTTAGTAATGAAATTTTTTATTTGATTTAGATATTTGTTCAATCTTTTAAACTTATAATAAGAAAATCTATATTGTAAGATGAATATAAAGTCATCCGAGTTGTTCTTTTATGTATGATTGATCAATAAAAGAAAAATTCATCGAAAAATAGAAGATTTTCTACTTAAATAGTAAATTCTTTTTGGAGGGTGGATGTGGATTTTTCTAGTGTCCTATGTAGTTGAATCTATTATTTATCATTCTTAAATTTTCAAATAAATATAATAATTTATATGAAATCATTTTTATATAATAAAATTTAATATAATTGATTAAATCTTGAATAGTTATCAATACGGTTGAATAAAATAATAATAATGTTTATAAAAACGATTTTTATATTTTTTTCGTTAATATTGTTCAAATTATCTTTGTTATTACATAAAAATTCTCTAATTAATTAATTTAATAATCTTTTATTTTTAAACAGTAACATTAAATCCTTCATTGATACAAACTCATATTTTATTCAAACCATTACCAATGTTTACAATCCTACAAAATAATAGATAATATTTATCTATTCATGAATTCTTCTTAATATGAAATTTAAATCACAAAATATGATTTATTAATAAAAATAAAAAATAAATTATTTTCATATAAATTTATATTAATCGATAATTATTGAGAATATTACTATTTTAATTTCATCATAAAAATAATTGAATTTAATAAATATATCTAAAAAATATTTTAATATTTTCAAGAAAAAGACATTTTCCACCAGTTGAACGTATTATTGGCAAACTAATCTGAAAATAATTAAAAAATTGATTTCATCATGAAACTTAATCATTTTTATCAGTTTCAACTAAATTTAATCTCATAAAAAATATTTTTTGTAATTTATTAAAATATTTCTAATTATTCATTCAATTAAATATAATAAAGAAATTCTAAAATCTTTATTTTAATTTGTTTGAAAAATAAAACAAATCTCTTTGTAAGTTTTATTGAAACAAACCCATACTCTTTAAAATTAAAAATCAAGCTTGAATTTTGTATCATTTACAAAACTTTTCTAATTTTCGATTGTATTTCAAATATTTTCTTCATTTTTTTCGAAATTCTTTTTACTTTGTTTTCATCTCAATGAAAATGTTCATTAATTTGTTTTTATTTTGAAAATCATTTTTCAATCCAATTTTAAAGAGTAACTATTAAAAACATTTTTCTTCGTTTTTTTCCCTATCAAGATACTTCTATTTCTTCAAAAAATTATTCGATTTCCTTATTGATATTCAATGATAAAACTTGACTTTTTCTTTTCTTTTTTGAAAATCAAAATTTCATTCACAAAATTATTTCAAACTTTTCTATTCGATGATTCAATTCATCAGCAACATAAAGATTTCTTTCATCGTCAAAAAATAAACCACTAGGATGATTCAATTGATTTGATTGATTTCCTTGACCATTTCCACGAACAACAATTTCACCTTCTTCGTTTCCTTCGCACCAAAGCATTACTCGATCATTTCCACTATCCGCCACATAAATTTGACCCAAATCATGAACAATTACTCCTCGAGGTCCTGACAATTGACTGAGATTTCTTCCTTGACCATTTCCTCCAGCCACGATTCTTCCTTCTTTTGCATCTTTTCTCCATTTCATTACACGATGATTGAGCAAATCTGATACATAAACAGATTGATCGTCATCAACAAAGATAGAAGTAGGACGATCGAGTTGATTATGTTGATTTCCTCTGCCATTTCCACCAGCTACTATAATTCCTTCGTTGTTGTATTCTCCCATTTTCCATCGTCTCACTTCATTGTTCCAAAAATCAGAAACATAAAGAAATCCATATTTATCCATTGTCAAGCCCAAACAAATAATATTATCAATTAGAATTTGTGCATTTTGATTCAACAACTGAATCACTCGTCTGTTCAAAGAATCAACAATGATGATCGAATGATTTTGTTGATCAACAATTACATCTGCTGGCCGATTTAATTGATCTATTCGATTTCCTTGCCCATTTCCACCTGTAATGATTTGCCCTTCTTCTGCATCACATTTCCATTCAACAATACGATGATTATAAGAATCAGCAATGAAGATATTTTTCTTTTTATCTATAAAGATCCCAACAGGACTATTGAGTTGATTAAATTCTTGTCCTTGTCCATTTCCACCAGCCACGGTGATTGCATTTTATTTCCATTTGTTGAGTTTTAGTTCTAGAAAATAATAAAAACAAACGATTTTGATGAAAAGAAGAGGAGAATTTTGATTTTCCTCGAAGAGAAAAGATTTTGTTAATTTATTTTTTGTTAGATAAAAATTTGAAAATAATTCAGTTGTTTTTATTAATCGAGAATGTCTTTTTAATTTAATATTTTGTCATTCTTTATTTACATACAAATAAATTAGGTTTTCTATTTCTATTTCTATGTTTTATTATAATTTTTTAACATAAATCCATCAAAAATGATTCACGAAATTATTTCTTAAAAACTTACTTTTTGATAAAATGATTGAAATATCATTAATAAACGGTTGTAAATTTTGTTGAATAGAAATACTTGATGGATGATTTAATTCTTGTGTCATTTTCATTAATTGATTTCTTAAATATTCTAAATTAATTTCATTAAATTCATTTTCTTTTTGAATTTGTTCATTTAAATCATTAAATTCCCTTTCAATATCGTTCAAAAATGTTTGTGAACATTCAATGACAATTTCCATGCAATCTTTTGCTTTTTGTTTAATTTTCTCAATTGAATTTATTTCCCATTGATTAATTTGATTTATTAGAGAAAGATCATCTGAATTCGGTTTTTGTTCATTAAATCTTGTTTTAAATTGATCATAATCATTAATAATATGATTTAGTTCATCATTTAATATTTGACGATGTTCTGTTAAATCCATTAAACAAAAGTACTGTGAACATCCTTCACAAGGATATGTTATTTTATTTTTATTACATTTAAAACATAGTGTTTTATTATCTATCATTGCCATGTTGTTGAATATAAATTCATAAAAGAAATGAAAGAATGATACTTTCCTGATAATACTCTTTTCTTCAATGCCTTTGAAAATCTATTATCTCGTCATCGAAGAAAACATTGGATAAATACCGACTAAACA